ATGAAACTTGACAATGAACTGTTGTCTTCACCAAAATCTTCTAGGGGACAAGGGGGGACACCACAGAGATAGAGTTGTCCTAATAAACGTGCGAAACATGCGGTCAAATGAACTGCCTTTGGCCATGCCGATTTGTCACACATAGTCCATTCAGGGGCCAAGACTAGTATTTTAGAGTGAATCACGTGCAGCTGTAGTCACCAACAAAGTTTGTGTTAAAGTAAATATGATAACATTCAGTATTGCCAGGGAAAAGAAATCTCCCACCAGAAGGCACTTCGTGTTTGGAAGTGCCATTAAAATTAATCAAAAGATCCACTCGTTAAAAAACCACCATGACTCATTCTTGTCAGTCATCTTGCTGTGAGCTGGAGACGCAGCAGAGGAAAAGTGCCAGAAGCCATGTATGGCATCGGAAAAGGAAAATCACTCAGGGCGTTTTTGTCCTCTGTTTGAACAGAGGCGCAGAGCAGACGAAGGGGGTGTAAGGGGGAAGAAGTTTCTCACAGCTGCCCAGCCTGAGGCCCAGAACATGTGACGCTTTCCTCGTCAGAGCGTCACCAGCCTCTCGTCTGTCATTATTTTACCTCTCGCAGAGCACACATGCCGTTTTTTTCCCTCTCTTCTCAATCTCTCTCTCTCTCTTTCTCTTTCTCTCACGCACACACATGCACATGTTCGTGTCGTCTTTGTACTAACTTGATCCCCTCTAAATACTTAAAGGAGCTCAAATTAAAGCATATATATATATGTGCACTGATGACTTTGTCTCTGTGACTAGTACAGCTTCATATTAGTGTGACAAGTTTTGTTGAAATAATCAAAACCTATAAATGTTGTCTAACCTTTTAATTAATCAATTGTCACTTTGACAATGAAACCGAGAGATGGAACCTTAGCTGACCTTTTTTGTAACACTGGTACTGTTTTTCGAGTTCACAATAATCATAAAACTCATCTTGTTACAATTATTTTTCTGTTGTGGCTTACGTGTCAAACCCAAAAAGTGTTTGTTGCTTGTAGTTTAAACGCTACAGTACAAAGAATCCTAATTGGGATTTTTTTCCCTTAATGTCAACAAGGCATTTTCTTCAGTTACCATACTACAACGAATGGCATACAGGATATGAAGTGAAGACAGTTTTACATTAACAATAGCAAAGCATGGGTTCATGTGTTAGTGTTTTCTTGAAGATAGTGAATTAATAGCTAATGTTTTTTTAATGTAGTGAAAGCTGTTGTATCACTGTTATAGCTGTGCTTTGTGTCTTCCAAGTAAGGCCAAGATTGGTTGATTGGTTCTCATTGGTTTTTTGCCATTATTCTGCAGATGTGAATTATTGTTTCTTATTAGAATGACAGGTCTTTTTGGTACCCTAAAGCCTGTAGCACCCCCTTTTCTGGCTTGCAGGTGATGCTAAGATTGAGTGCTCAACTTATTGCGCATGCGTTGGGGTAGCTTGTGACACACAGGCTGGGAGGAGGGTTTAATGAGCGAACACAGATGGCAGACAGCCCAGGCCCTGCTTTGTAGAACTCAGGGTCAGCAAGGAGTCTTGGAAACACCAAATAAACAGAGCTGTTACCATAGAATGTGAATGTATAGATGTGCTGAATGTTGATTTTTTTTTTCTGAAGGTCTACCAGCTTCCTGAAAGGAGCCTTTACACTCTTTTGGAAGTTTTCTGCTAAGGTTTCCACAAGTGTCACAATCACATTCAGTTTGCATTAGCACCTCAGCAGCAGAAATAGTCATGACATGAACACCAGAACCTTTGCATTAAGCCTAAATTTGACTTTAAAGCCTGTCTAAAATTGCTGCACTAGAGTCTATTTTTATTAGCACATTTAGCAGCAGCAGTTATGGCTTTTCATAGACAGAGAATCCATGGTTAGACTCACAGCTTGTGCCATCTGTTGTATTAGGACTTTGTGGCAGTCATCAAAACTCCGACCATCAGTCGCCACACATCACCTTCCCTAGGCATCACTAACTGGTGAATCATTAAACCGGTGGCTGTGAAAAAGAAAACTATCCTCATCTTTAAGCCTGACGAGCATTTCATTCTTTGGTCCTTTTTGAGTTATACTGCACGAGTGATTCAGTAGGCTGAGCTTGTCGTCTTCCAGATGGAAAGACTGAGTTTGATTCCTTGTGAATTGTGAAACTGGGTGTTGAAATAGAACCAAAATATATAGTGTAAGAGCATATAAGGTGCAAGGCAGGATACGGCCACAAAGGCTATAAAGGTCCACCATAAAGAAGACCATTTTCCACTGGACATTATTTCTGCAGTATAACCGTTGGTTTACCTGGCATTTTCTGTGGCCAGTTCACTCAATTTTGACCATCATTTCTGCTTCAATGGTGTGTGCGTTGCTGTCTTTTTATTTGAGGGCTCGCAGGGTGCACAAAGGTAGACCGGACCTGGACATTTATACTAGCCAATATATAGTGATGCACAGTAGCTCCCTAGAGAAGAGAATATTAAACAGTAAACACATCGTAACATGCTAAAAAAGACCACACAAACCTAAAATGTATTTAAACTGGCAGGACAGCTTGTAACCCTGTTAGGTATTAAATAAAAAGAATCTGTAAAATATGGCACTATTAGCAACTGAGTTGCAGCTGAGGGAATTCAACATAACACACACAGAAGGAGGCCATGCCTTTCTGACTTGGCTGTCATGAATATAGGTCTGCCAAAAGAAATAGGAAGGGAAAAAAACCTATTACATAAGTTACAAGTCTCTGTGGTTTGAACCTCTCATCTTTTGCACAGGCAGCTATTTAAATTGCATCAGTTCCTCTGATGTAAATGTGTGTAGCCTTCAACTCCCTTGAAGCTTTTAGTCATTTATTTTGATTAGGGCTGTATTTATAAGATAAGTCTCCTAAGTAAGTCGCCCGGGACGATGGGCTAGGGAAGGATGGAGAAAACACAAAGTGTTTGATTATAAATCCAGAAATACGTTCTCATACATTAATTATGGATTTCTGGGAAATTGTGTTCCTCAGTTTCATTTACAAGGCCCGACATTTGTGGACAAATACCTGTGGTGCCACCACTTTACGTCTTAGCAGCTGCACACATGGCTGCCATTGGGGTGGAGAGTACAGATCCTTAAAAAAAAAAAAGTAGACACTTTTCAAGAGCAAGCCTTTGTTTTTATTTGTGTGTGTGTACTGGTTGATTCCTGGAAGCAGGAGTTTGAAGTTGCTTGAAAGCGTCGCTCTGCTGGTGTCTAGTTCTCAGAAACAGACAAGTATGGGACAGCATGATGAGGATAGCTGGGCTGAGGACTGAGCTTGAATGATGCCTCCATTATGTCTGCCTCTCACAGTGCGTCAGTACTTTCAGGATACCTATCTTGTTCCGGCTGTTGTGGCCAGGTGAGCTTCAGCTATTAGCACAAGGGTACTTCAGCTAGGTGTATCAAATATGTTTTGCAGTAATCATCTAAAATTCTGTGGTCAAGTACAACCATCTCATGGATGACACTATTTTATGCGATTTGTGAATAAAAATAGGAATTTGCCATTAGCTACATTTACTAGTACCACATTGGAGCTCCTCATTTTTTCTGTTAAACCAATGGAAAAACTCGTTTGTGTGTCAGTTTGTCAAAACATAAGACAGACATTTGTTTTGTTTTTTTCATGACCTTACATGACCTTTTTAAGCTTATTAACAGCAACAACAGTTTTGCGCAAGAAAACATTTGATGTATTTAAAATAAAAAATTAAATAGGTTAACAATATATACTGTATATTAAGTACAGAAATATTATAGATGATTGGTTTCCCATCTTTATGCACTACGTATCTCTAAACAAAAACATAATGAAGAAGAACTTATGTGTGATGGAGTCATCGATGTTTAGTTTTTGACAGATATTGTTATAATGTTAAGCTGCCATCTGAGAGTTAGATCTTGTGACCTCTAACAAGCACTTTAAGGTTGTTTGAAGACTTCTACCACATTGAAAGAACCGGAAAAAAAAGCTGTACACTGCAGCATTTAGAGTTTTTTCCCCCTCTTTCACATGACAGTTTTCCACATTTGTATTCGGCCGGCGTTCTGGAGCTGCAATGTGGTTGTGTGCGATGTCACAGTGATCTTAAGCGAGGTTTTTTGTTCTCCTCAGAGGTGGTGAGTCACAATGAATTTGGCAACACCTCTCACTTCCACACAAGGGTTTACAGTCAGGATTCTATTGTTGGAAAAAAAGTGACAGCGTGATAAGCCGTCAAATCAGACCCGTATTTCCTCTAGCCCTTATGGGAGTCAAATTTAGTCGTCAGCAGCATCATAAGGGTGGGTGTTCTTTTCCATATCTGTACCCACCAACAGAAGAATATTGCAATATTGAATAAGTGTAATATCTCTGTTATTTTTCAATTGCAGGTAGATGTATCAATATTTTAAATGCCATACTACAAACCATATATACTCTTAGAAGATTGTTTTTCACCAAGAGCATTCCACAAATTGAGGTTTTTAATATATACACCATATGTAGTGTAAGTAACATATATATACACACACACACTATATACTGTATATATATATATGTATAAAATGCACGGTTTTAAAATTCACATACATACAGTATGTGTATATACAAATATATATACAGTATTTATATATGTGTATATACACATACTGTATGTATAGCCCTGTGAATTCAAACAGAACTGTCTTTCATCATTAAAATGTCTTTCAAAGGCTCCTGGAACTTCCTCCAGCAGAAACCTGGTGTTTTACAACGTTGACTGCACCAATGTCTGCTGGGAGATGCATATTAGAGTCATGGATCGAGCTGAAATGATCTTTCAAAATCACTTCATCTCTCTCATTCTCCAACACACTCATATAAGCACACTTTTGTCAACATATACGTGTATTAACTAGCGTAGCTGAGATCCAAGGTCTGGCAGTGCACGTCGACAGATATATGACCTTGTTTCCTCTCTTTCATTATTTGCTCGTAGATCAGAGACACCAATGCAGCATTAGACAGCCCGGTGGTCGAGGATCCTCTGCTAATGGCCGCTGACAGAGGTGAGTACCATGCATTGGTTTTTGGAATTCCGTTCAAACCCTGGTTTGCAGTTAACAGTACAAGTGAAGACAATATATTTATTTTGTTTGGATTTCATTGAGGTACTGAAATAAAGTCAGCTCCAGCATACTTGAAAGACATTTCTACCGAAATGATTTGCCATAGAAGCAACCGTTAGTGACTCAGCCACAAAATTACATTAGAAAACTCTCAATGCAGGCGATGTTTTCAGTTGCCATGCCCATCTCACTGCGACCTTAACTAAACCAGGAGGGTTAAAACAAAAACAAAAAATCACCTGAGACTTTCTTCCCAACATTCAGTTTGTTTCTCCACTTCAAGTCTCTCCATACAGTGGATTTATTGTTCTAACAGTGTTATGCCATCGGTCTGAAATTGGGAGATCAATCTGCAAACACTTCTGGAGTAAAGGTACCTTGCTAGTTGTCAAAAGTGTCTTTAATCTTTAATTTAGTTATCTTGTCTGTCTGTATTTTCAGTCTGGTTTTGCAATCTCACATTAGTTAAAAAACAACACAAATAATTTGAGCATTAAATAAAAACATTATTCTTTTGTAGATTAAACAGGAAACATTTCATAGAGACCAAGAGGCCTTTAATGTAGAGCACACAACTAATAAGGCTTCATACAAAGATAATAAATTGTAATTAGATCTAGTGTATTCACTCCTTTGGTTTTGTAAACACTTTGTACAAATAAAGGAACTGCTTGTGTCAAGGATACACACCTCGTACAATGAAACTGTGAAACAACGCTGTTTACTATGAAAGTACTCATTGATAAAATCTGTAGGGCTGTGTATATTGCCTCCTTGGATGTTTTCTAAAGGTCTTTGCATGATGAAGGATTGAAACACGTGGTTTGAAGGGTAATTGTGTTTCCAGTTCAGCCACCCACAGTATTCTGTTGAACACAGGAGCCCGTCATTGACAGTAAATTACAGAATATCCATGCATCCGTGTTTACTACTGTAAACCTCCTGCAATATTTTTCCCTTTGTACGTCCATGATTCCAAACCAATCCTGATTGCCGTTGGTGTAAACTTGCGACTGGTGCCGGGGGCGGTTTGTTTGTCTTTTGTTTTATTTTCAAGGTGATGCACTGAGTTTATTCCCCTTTCACACCACGAGCATATTGTTGTGCCCCAGCTGCTGCACAGAGACAGGGCCAGGTATTTATGGCGAGCATAAAACACGGTGCATTCACTGTCACTTTAAAGCCGCATGATTTACGGTGCCTTTGACAAACACACTAAATTATATGATGAAAGGATTGTTGAATGTGTATAGGTGTTTAGAGGCTGTCTGTTCTTTGTGCTCCCAGTGGATTCTGCACTTAGAACATGGATGTGTTCCTGGGTGAGTCTCTAGTCTATGTTTGCCTCCCTGTTGTGTGACGAGCGTCGAGCTGTCTGCCTGCGTGTTCATGTGTGTCTCTGTACACCGGTGTGTTAATCTGTGTGTGTCTGTGTGTGTGTGTGTACACACCAAACTCTCCTGCTCTGAAACACCAGCAACAGATAACAGATGGTCCCCTTGCATTAGAAGTGTTTTATTTCCCTGTGGAAGCCAGATATGTCAGAAATAAGCATGTGCAACATTAGTCATTTGGAATATTCATGCCCCTGCCGTCCAATGGTTTCCTTTCACAGCCAAATACCACCAGCTCAATTCTCCCCAGGAAGTGAGGGGTAAGAAGTGGAAAAGCAGTCATCAGTTGAACTGATTAAAAGGGCTGCAGCCTTAGTGGTTTCTTCCTTAGTGACTCGTGACTCTAAGTAAAGATGGGTTTGAAACTGTAGCTTTAGATCTGTTTATTTTTGCATGATATTTTACTCACTCAAAACAACAAAACAAAGCAAAGACTCATCAAGTTTCATTCTTTCTTTGTGTTTCCAGGGTTTCTGTTGCAGGTCTGACACTTAAACTCAAAAACAAGTGTTAGAGGTGTTAGCTTGATTAGCTTAGCAGAGCCTTCAGTGTCATAGGTTATATGCGCGGAGCAGGGAGATTTAAATTTATAACTTAAGTTGCGTCATCTGTGTTTAACCCTAAATATTCAGCTGGGCTCAGACATTCTTGGTGGCTAATAAACAGGGTTTAGGGCAAAATAAATTGTTATCTGTCAATTAGCACAGGTTTCAGTGATAATTGGACATTTGTGGTTTATAAGGACATGTTGCTGTATATAGAACAGCTGTGACTTGTAGACACATAAGGGAGACGTGATGTTTGAATGTTGCTAGGTTACGGGAAGTATTGCATTCATAGTCTGTTGTCTGTAGAATTTTTTGATTGGTTGTCAATTGGATTTCTCTGAGTTTGACTCCATGTTAGTGAAGTTGCTTGTAGACTGTAAATTTGATCCACCATTGCTGTAGGTGTACAGCCCTACAAAACAAAGGAGCTTGTGCTATGTTTAGCCTGCCGGACATATTGTCAGCAATGGTAATAAATTAGTCACTCAGAGGGCAATTGTTAGGCTTCACCATCTCACAGACGGACAACTAACATAGCGCCTCCTGCAGGGGAGAAAGGTGATGCATAAGCTGTCCAGAAAGCTTAAATAAAGCTCCGCTCCTCAACCTCCATTTATTAATCTCCACTTTTTTCCCTTCCATCTCCCACCACTGAGCACGGCTGCCATCCTTTTCTCCTTGGTGGCGGACATACACATGCATCATTATCAGGCCCTGATTAACCATTCACATCTTTGGCAGGCCTGGCTCCAGCGGGGGCATGTGACATGTTATTAATATTATTTTTTTCCTATTGCTGAAAACATGAATTCTGAGCAGCACTTCCTTACTCTCAGTGGTCCCCTCATGATCAGGGGGTTAATCCGTGGCAGCATGTGTGAATGTTGTAGTGAGGAAAAGCAGAGGCAGGGGGAGGAGAAGGAGGAGGAAAAGCTACCAAACAGTGGTCTGGTGCTTATCGCAGAAATGCAATATAATTTATTCAGGAATATGCAAATCCAACAATCACTCTGCCTTGTTTACCAAAGGGACCTGCTGATTCAGTGTCTGTGTGTGTGAGAGTGTGTTTCTGAGTGTGTGAGAAAGGGAGAGAAAATCCCTACAGACACTGACAAACACTGTATGCATAAAGACTCCAGCACCCAAATCACCAGTTCCCCTTAAAATGAAGAAATGAAGGGCATCGGGCAATTTCCTGGTTGCTTTACTGCTGAAAACAAACTCGGTGTTTATTCTGTGGAATCTCAATTGTTTTTGATTATCAAAGCCAGCTTCTGCTAATGTGCTGTGTCAATATTTGCCATGCAACTGCAAGCAGTTCATCCTCTTAGTTTTGACATGTCACGTTGAACTGGAAATGAAAATCACTGGTTCAGTGTGGTCTTTAAATGCATTTTGGAATTTTACTCCATCATTTCCTGGACTTCAAAATGTTGTTTTATTTTTTCAATTGCTTTATTTATTTTTAGCTCTATTTACACGTGAAGAATCTGGTGATTTACATTTAAAAAAATACCAAAATATTAAAGGTGTTGTTGACTGATAACAGCTCCTACTATAAATAGCTCTGGGGCAAACTAATGATTGTTTGACTAACATGTATGCATCTCAGCTTTGAAGTGTTTGTCAGCTCCAGCAAATAAGATTCTGAAAATAATCATAAAAAAATAAGTCAGTAAATGTCGTTGCTAGTCAAGTTAGTAAATCTAGGTTAGTATGAGTCATCATTGTCAGTTATATGCACAGATATGATGGAGAGAGTACAGGAATTATTTTATAGCTGCTGCCCCAGTTAGCCCTCTGGATTGACTTCTCTGTACTTTTCCAGGTGAGCTCTTCTGTTAGAGAGTACAATTATTCCTTCTAACAACGTACCTGAGATAGAGCGGACTAAAAGTAAACTCACGATTAATTGTGACTAATCAAAATTAATAAATCAACATTCTTAATACATTTTTTACTGTGCATTGGTAGAACTGAAAAACAAAAATTACAGCAGGTACATGTTTGTGTCTAAAACTGTTTTATTTAAGACCAATCCAAATTGATTATTAATATGAAAAAAAAATACGGGAAAAATATGTAAATAATATCTCTCAAAATTTAGCCCCATAGAGTTGGTGGACTTCATTACTGAGAAAGTAATGTAATGCATGTAATTTCAATCCATTAATTGTAGTTTCATTGTTAAACAACGATAAATCAAAGTATACCCTGGTTACCATGGGAGTATGTGTGTTTTTTCAATATTCATTAGGAAGAAATGAATGAGTCTATAATCATAAAATATAACAATGAAATCAGGATCTTCATATTAGAATGGACTTAAATAATAAAATAACTACATACACACATGCACTAGTATTGTGTGAGAAGAGATGGGCTTTGATCAAATATTAATTTGTACTTTTTTATTTCAAAATATTGTTTCTCATTTATGCAAATTTAATTAGTGCTAAATTTATCATGTTATTAAAAACACATGTCACTGAACAAGTACACATTGGTCTTTGATCATTATTTTCTCTTCCCATTTCCACAGTGTTTTGAACTAAAGTAAAGCCAGAGCAAATCAGTGTGGACAGGCTGCCCACACTAATTTCATGTGCACAGATCACTAAAAAATAGTTTCGTATGATGAATTGCAGGCAAGTAGGGACCATTATTAAAGCTGTAAAACATATCAAATTTAATTATTGATTCACCTAGGATTTTAATACGTACAATTTCAACAGCTTCATGTCAATCAAATATGTAATTTTTGCTTATCCTGTCACTTAATCGTAAGACGAATTGTCTTTTGTCTGTGCATCATATCATCAATCTGATGCTATTTGGCTCTAGTCATCCATTCATGTACAATGCTATTCTTGCCACACACGAGGTCAGCAGCCAAGCAGGGTTTTTACTGGGTCAAACTGCTCGCAGGCAGTAGTTAATTTCCAACTCACCATAGATAAATAACTTTGCTTTGACCTCCCTTTGTGACTGGCACAAA